ATTGCTATCCAAGCTTATGACCCTGTCAAGCGGCTGCTGGAGGAGGATCATCTACAGCTCTCAGAGCGCAAGACGTGCTGTGTGGTGTCCAACAATGAGGCCAAGCGCATGCTCAAGGAACAGCTACCAGCAGGAGGTCCACAAGTACATGATGTCATGAGAGATCTTGGGGTAGACTGCACGGCCGGAAGGCTCAGAAGAATCATGACTATGAAAGGCAAAGAATCAAAACAGCTATGGCTAGACAGATGAGACTTCAACGAACAGGAAATGTGGACATCGTCTACGACATGCAGCCAAGGCATCATGACCTGGACTATGGGGCCTTTATGGATCAAGTCGTGCCGAAAGCTCTTTGGCAATTGGGCTGAACACCTCTACCGTGACCTGGAACGAGCTTGGCAAGTCGGGAGCGCCTGTAGCCCAGGGACAGGTGGCAGCTGCTGCATATGCTATTCTGCATGAGCATGGATGGGATACCACGAAGTATGAATGGACGAAACCAGGCTACAATGGGGCCAACGACTTCAACCTCACCATGACTGGTTCGATCTCAAGGAGGAGATGCACAGGGCAGCAATCTGGGAAAGGGTCATGCGCCTCAACAAGCGTCGGACTGTGCTTCAAGAAATTCAGCAGCCCTTGGATTGGCAACCTTGGCAGCGGCATGTAGTCTTGACCAGAGAATGCCACGGCCCTTCAGACCTGGCACGGCCATTTTCACCAAGCTTGCGGACAACCAAGGAGGACAGCATTCGAGATGTCCACATTGTGGACAACCGGCCACAGCAGTTCATTTGCTTTGGTTGTGCAAGGAAACCAACAAGGCGTGTTCTCCACTTGCAGCCGAAGACCTTCTTTCTTGAGCTCGAGCAGGGCATCAACCTCGAATTTTGGGCACAACGGTTGCTCCAGCAGCAAACATATGACATTTCCACATCCTGGGTCCTGGACAACACAAGATGAAGTCAGGCTCCGCAACCAAGAGATTGTCACTGTTGGCATTTCGACCACAAGTCATGACAGTCGTCTCAAACACTATGTCGTGCCCCTGGTCCACCACACCCTTGGAGGTGTACCGCATGCGGCGGTACTGTGCTGCCCGGCTAAGCAGGCGATGGAGCGTGCTTGGTTCTATGGGTTGAGAATGGTGGCCCACTATGCGGACTTGAGCAATTTGGTGCGCATTCATGCGCTCTCCAAGGGAGCTTGGGAAGCATGGGTGCATGGCAAACATAGTGAAGCCTTCTATGACCTCAACCAGCTGGTCACGTTGGATTGGATCAAAGGTATCGCATCAAGGCCCTCAGCATTAGCAAGCACAACAGGTGCGCTCCATGCCATCTGGTGAATGGTCTTTGAAGAACCGAATGGCGGATGCAGGCACAGCGGCCAAGGAATTTGCTCTCTCCTTGAGGCCACAAGGGAGCAAAGAAGAAGAACTCAGGGAGCAGGACAACAAGTACAACCGAATTGCACCACAGGCCGTGCAGAGGGTGAGGTTCTCGGTTGAATCCACGGCAGTTCATGCAAAAAGAACGGAAGACTAACAAGGAATGAAGACAACAGGCCAGGGAGGAGAAGAAGAAGAAGAAGAAGAAGAAGAATTGTATGCTGAAATTGCAGCACACAGCACTCTCCAAGGACACACATAGTCAAGGGAGAAGTCTGCGGTGCAATGGATGCAAGCGCCGGATCACTATGCATTACAAATATGCTGACTTGATGGCCATCAAAGAAGAGGCCTGTGAGAAAGGGAGGCAGGGAGAACATGGTGAGACAAAGGCGGCCTTCATCCAGCGGGTAATTGAGCAGCGGGTGGTTGACGACTCTTTGGCAAACAGTGGTGACATTGTGTGCGCCAGCTGTGGACTTTGAAGAACTCGGCCAGGGACAGGATCCAACCGATCGCGCAGCAGCCCTGCTGGAACCAGCACTGGATTCCCAAGGTGGACTGGCACCCTACCCACGCACTTTGGCGACACGGGTAGGTCTTCTGCCAGGTGTGCAAAGCAAGCCTCTGCTGTGGGTAGCGGGGAGGCATGGCAGGCCAGTCGGGCGCTCCGACGGCGATGTGGCACGGAGGAAGCCACTCAACAAAGCTTCCAATGTGCTTCAGGGCCAAAACGGCGGAAGAGCAAGGAGCATGAGCAGAAAAGGATCGCAGAAAAAAGAATGTATATATGTATCTCTCTCTCTCTCTCAGAGTTGCATTGCATGACATACTTGTTCCCTTGTTTTCTTGGCATTCTCATCATTAAGGTCCATCGTTGCTTGGCAAGGGGGAGAGGGGTCGGCATGTGGCGTGCGTTTTGGTGTTTCAAGAGCACAGGTGCTTGAGACGTGTGTGGCCACAAAAAATCGTTGTGAATATGTAATAGTCATATATATATATATGTATACGATCTATATATATATATACATATACAAACCACAACTGGAAGAAAACAACCTCTGGTATCGAATCAGTGGCTTGAGACGCTCTGCATAGGAGAAAAGTCTCAGGCGACCGCTAGGCAAATATCACGCACTTCAAAGAAGAGGACAATTGTGCATTCACGACGTCATGCCATGATTGAGAACATGCTGTACCGATTTGGCTGGTTGTGATGGTTTTGAAAGATGCGTTCCTTGCTCCAGCAATTTCCTAGAGCATGTGTGAACTACTGTCATGTCAAAAGAACTTGAGAAAATGGACAAAGCAAAAGCATGGAGAGTGGAAGACAACAAGCCTGCGCTAGAGTCCTAAAACCTCACCTTGTTCCTTTAAAATCCGCAATAAAGCTAGGTCGCCCCTGCGCAGGGGGAAACGCCCACAAGTTTCCTTTTGATTGCATTTTCTGTCCGAGACTGATATTGGGTTGATGCTTCTTGGCAGATTGCCCAATCAGACAAACGACGCGAGAGAGAGAGAGAGGGAATCTAAAAATAAGAAGCAAACATAAAGTAGAAAAGTAAAACAATGAACACAACAAAACAAAGTGGAATCAACACTAGTGGCAGCCTGGGTGACTCGACCAAAGGACACAGAGCCGATTGAACGGGAGAGTGTATATCTACGGGAAGCATTTGCTGAGGCTGTCCTTTCACTCTTGGAAGCTTCACGGCCTTTATATGGGAAATGGGGTGGGCTTCGCTACTACCTAGGAACCCAGCATCGCTACTAGGAGCAAGGACGCTACTAGTAGCTCCTGGCCTTACCACTAGGAGCAAGAAGCTACTAGTAACAAGACTGTTGCGACGACACACCGTGCGGCAGCCTTTGAGACGAAGAGTCTATCCTGCTTCTCTGGCACTCCAGCTGCCTGCAACCCGCTCCGGTTTGCAAAGGTCTGCACCCTCTGGAACTCCTGGCCCCCCTAGGGCGTTCAGCAACGATCAATGACATTCTAGTCGACAACTGTTAATATCGCTGCTTATGTGAGCAAAGTGTGATATCCAAAGGCTGGATCCTGTGATGGTTGAAACAAATATTATATATACAATATCAACAACAACTTGTCCCATGCTGTTGGAAAAATACGTGTTCAATAATGGGCATCTTCAACTCCGAAACTGCCTGAGGTGCAGGTTTCTGAGCTTCGCCGGTGCCTCAGAGGAATTCAAAAATTGATCCTCTTGAAGGTGCCTCTTGATCATGCCCCTAGCGGCCCTAGCGTGCTGTCTCCAACGCTCGTGGTCCTGCCGTACCTGCCGAGCGTCCGGGTCCCTGCATCACAGCCTCAGGCTGGCGCTTGGGCATGATCCACTTGTTACTAATAGCGATGCACTCGTTTCTAATAGCTTCTTGTTACTACTAGTAAGGCACTTGTTACTAGTAGCGATGCACTTGTTTCACATGAACAAAAAACAGTTCAGCTCGAAGTCTCCAGGGACTCCAGTCACACCGAGAACTATGAAGCCGGCCACAATGATTCTAAGGGGTCATCTACCAATGTAGTATGCCATCAAAGGAGCACTTGAAAAACAGGACGCAGCCCAGTAGCCAAAGCAGCCTTCGCGGCCGCATCCAGGTTGGCAAATTGATTGACCCGCTCCTCCTGCATGACAGGCCCACGCATGCACAAATGCAGAGAGAGAGAGAGAGAGGGGGATACAAATCAATAAAAAAAATAGATAAATAATACACCATATTACACATGAAAAGCAACCAATTTGAGGGGTTTGTATGCGGAGTTGGGGTGCCTTTGCCAGCGATACAGCGGATTTGTATCGCGATACTGGCGATACTTGTTTGATTGGCATTGAGCTTTACATCTCGGAATGCGGCCTCGATTTGCTAGCCCCAGCCCCGGGCCCAGGAGTTGCTGGACTGCGAACAATTTCGTCCCCGCTCCTCGGCCATAGGTTCCCCTATGGGCCCCCTGAACCGCCAGCTGCCAGGTGCGAGCACAACCTTCTGGAAGTAGATCACGTCAAGAAACTATGCACTCTTTCTTTGATGATTGCTCAACTTCCACAAATCATGCCATCTTTATGGTCTTTACCAGGGGGTCGTGCCATGCCGCCTCGACTTATTTTGCTGTAGGTGTCGTTCTTGACAAGTCTTTGGTTATACTGAACGGCCCACGTTGTGACCACACAAAAGCAGCCTTGAGTCGCTCAGGTCTTTTCCCCTCGAAGCCAATGAGTCGGGACTGTCGCAAGCCTTTTGGCGGCGGGAAAGCTATGGCTTCAAGACTGGTGTCACAACCCCTTCGACATCCCCAACAAAACTTTGTCACAGCATCTTTGAGTCGTTTGTGCTGTAGAGAGTGGCTGTGAGCCATGGACTGGATGCCGAGCGCTGCTCTGCTAAGCAGAGCTCCGGATTTTCGAGGCCCGGATTCCGGAGGAGCGGAGAGTCTTCTGTTTAAAACCAGTCGGTCTCGTCCAGTGACCAGTGACTCAGCACTGTCGGTCTGGGAAGGCGCCGATCGGTCTCGTCTATAGCCATGTGGACTCTGATGACAATTGGGCGCTGATGACAAATCATGAGTTTCTGTCATGTGTGAACATTTGCCGCACAGAATGCTCTAAGGTTCTGAGTCCAAGGCATCACCCCTCTCTAGCTTCATCGACTGGATCACCCTCCCTCTGGAGAGCTGGCAAGGACTCGATGATGTCGAGCTTCTTCTGAAATCCATCGGCCTCCGCTTTCCAAAGGGGGGTTCACATCAAGTGATGGATGCACAAGCTTAAGACTTAAGCCTGCTAACAAAAGCTCCAATATTCGGTACTAACTGTGCAGTTCTGAAACCATGCAGTGGCGCCTTCAATGTCATGCCTTTCACATGACGGTCTATCTCCTCCAAACGCTCAAAGGTGAGACTCTCCTCGGAAGGAAAGCACAACCCTCCAAAGCAGCATACTTCCCCCTTTCCCTCCCTCCAAGCATTGAATTTATCAGGATGAAGGCTCTAACTCAAATATGCCCAACATTCCTTAGCACAGTTGCAAGATGACACGTACTAAGTAGTTACTATATAAGTCAATATGGGGTCTTGGCAACAAGACCTTGGCAGACCCCAGAGGAAGGTGGCCGATTTCAAAGGGGAAAGGGCTGTCAATGCTTGAGGGCCACAGCCTGCTGTGCGCTAACTACTAGGATAAACACAGCTCCGTGTCAGGCTCTGCCCAGAAATTCTCCAAACATTGTGGTCACATTAGGGGCTCTCACGGCAATGGTACAGCTGGGTTTGATCGAGGGTGCTTGTATCCGTGCGCGGCTGATTCGCTGCTATTTGCGCTACAATCGCCGCCTTTTCGGGACTCAAGCTAAGCACATTTCGGACTGCTCGCACAAACTGGTCTGGAGCGGATGTTCCTCGATGCTCTTGGTGCCGTGCGCCTTTTCGGACTCAAGTCGACTTTTCGCACGCGTGGGAGATGAGCAGATTGTCGTGGCAGGCGCAGCGCTTTGGACTTGGCGGTCTTTGGCGCGCGTTGATTTCGTGGCAGGTCCAGTGAATCATGAACTTTGGACACGTGGTTCGTTTCAGAATTTGAGGACATATGATTGGGGCGAAAGCGGAGTTTGGGCATGATGTTGTCTTTGGAAACGCTTTTGCTGTGAAACGTGCTGGCAGCACTGCGCGATGCGAATCTTGACGCGCAGGTTTCGTAACAAGTGCGGCACCTTGCGAGCCGGGAGGAAAGCTGACGTGAGGAGGAGGGATGGAAGATGAGTTTATTTGCAGAGGATGTGACCGAGGTGACGTAAACGATGAACTGAAATGCGTTGACTACGAATCAGGAGGCGTGGAGCATGGCGGTGTGCCAAGGACAGGAGGAAATCATTGGAACCGTCTTCATCTCAAGGGTTCAGAACTCTGTGGTAATACAAGCTTTTGACCTGAAAAATTTGGCGTAGGCGTAGGACTCAATAAAGGGGAGAACTGAATCGTGTGATATGTGCAGGAGTGTAAACTTGGGACTTGCATCCACGGAGAAGAATAGCTAGAACAATTGAGAGTAAACCTGCAATCGGCGCCGAACCGGGAGAGCTTAGTTGGTGAAGACTGGGAAAGGGGAGCCCATTGCTTGGGAGCATCGGAAGTTACAATCCGGATTGGACGAACCGTTAAATGCGATATACGAACCCAAATATTTTGCGGAATCGAGAGGAGGGATTGGTCGCCCAATGCTGCGGTGCCCCCGCAATGAACACAGGGGCAAGGAGAAAGGAGGCTCACTTGAGGCGAGAGATGTATCGGAGGGTTGAGGAGGAGGCCCGCTTGCTTGCCTCATGCTGAAGAAGCTGCAGCAGGCGGTGGAGGGTGCGCTGAGTGCGAGAACGGTTATCGGCGTACTCAACATTGGTCATGGGAGTTCAGCCAGAGAATGTCCATGGTGTGAAGTGGAACAGATTGTCAAAAGAGGAGCACATGTCATGCATTAAGACCGTAAGGACGAGAATAAAGAGGTAGGAGATGGTAGGGGCTAAGGGGACACCCTCCACGGGAAAGGGCAAATGTGCAAGGGGAATGCAGGAAGGAGCAAACAAAAAACTTGCTATCCTGGAAAAGGGCTGTCCATAAAGGAAGGGGGATGACAAGGCGAGCAAAAGAAACGGCCAAATGTTCATGACAAACGCTATCGAAGCAGGTGACCTGTCCAAAAACAAGATGTACAAGGCTGTGGTGCGTTGCTCAGAAAGCTCGACCACGCGACGATGAAAGAGGGGAGCGCTAGTGGAGCGGCTTTTGCGGAAAACCATATTGAAACTCACAAACACGGAGATCGAAAAGGAAAGCTACCCTATTTTGAAGGAGGCGGCGTAAGTCGTTTTAAACAGAGCTTGCCAAACTTAGCGGCCTGTAGGAGGAAGGCATCTGGCAGTTTTGGGATTCCCCGTTTCGTTACGACTCTAGCAAGCTTCCAATGGTCCGGAGCGGGTCCACGCTGACGTTCTCTGGCTCTGGCACCTTGTGGGGCTTTAACCTACGCAAGGCTACATGTACATCTGTCATTGTAAAGGGAGCCAAGGATTCAGGGACACAGGACACAGGGAAAGAACGGGGAGGTGGAAGGAGGATGGCATCCTGATGGTGTTTAAACAGAATCCTTCTGGCTTTTTTGCCGAAAGAGACAGACCGCTTTATTGTTTTTCCAGTGGTCCGAAGGAGATGCACCGAGATCAACTTCAAGCTGATAGAGGGTCTACCGTTTTCAGCTGTCGCGGAGTGCATGTGATCTGATACGTCTGCGCAGGGTAGAGACATCAGAGGAGGAAAATCCCCTGCATTGAGGGTAGCAATGCCGTCGCAGATGAGAGGTAGGGTCGGCAGGGTGGCGAATGAGGAGGCTTGCGCGAAAAGGAGTTGGATGGTGGCTGCGACAGTGAAATGACCAGGTGATTTGTTTGTTGATCCAATGGCAGGGCGGTGAACCAGTTCAGAAGAGGGCAGGAGGAAGTGATGGGATTGTCGCATGGAAAGAGGCATAAGCCCTAACCTGAACCTCCTGGTGCCCCGCAACCTCCTCTGGCGCCTGACCCGCGCCGGAACTAACTTGAACCTGCTCCGTGCTCCGAGACCTGGTCTGATCTGCTCCAGAGTCTTTACGGCTGAAGACCCCTAAGCTTCGCTGAGGAAATGAATGAAATCACCAAAACCCGAACCCATCTGTGAGAGAGGCTGCGTGAACATCTCTATACTGGAACTGTCACAGTGAAACTCCACACCGGTCCATTGCTCCAGCTAACTGTTACTAACTCGTCAAGGATCAATTTCATCGAGCCATTCGCTCAAGTTTTGCTCTACCAGCTCTCCAAGGTCTTCCAAGCTGGGTTTGACGGACTTCTGTGTGCGCGATCCCGCAACCTTGTCAAAGCCCAACAACACCTGGCAAAACCAGCAGTCTCGAATCTCCACACTGCTGGAGCTTGCACAACCAATTCCACCATCTCAATTGTTTCTGCGCACAATGGTTCTTGCAAATGCGTCTGTCAAGCGTGCAAGATGTGTGCATAGGTAAACGAAAACACATATGTTCCATTATGTTTAAATATTAATTGGCTTATATATATATATATATATTCATGTCTTGTCCAAGGTTGTATATCGTAGCTACGGT